GGGGGGGGGGGCATTACTCTAGCAGATAAGGGCCTAGCTATAAGGCCCTTAAACCATCAGTAAGACTAGTATCTACGCCTTTATGCAATGACTACCAGGATGAGCATTGCCGGTGCCCTACAATATGACCCCCAGCAGGCCTTGGTGAAGATGTCAGAAACAGACGTCATGAGGGTGTCCGACATTATCTAGTGGACCCTGTTCTCACGGGCACAGTGGAGTCTGACAGGGATTTGCCACAGAATTGCAGATTTGGCAATTCCACCGCTAGCGCCCCGTCCCTTTTACGGATAAGAGTAGGCTCACCCTGAGCACATGTGGAAAAACATGAAATGGTCTGGAGAAGCTGTGGAGAACATTATACTCTGTAACATTGTTCAGCATGAGCGATTTGGGGAGGGATATCCATGGAGTGACGCACAGACCTATACAGAACAGACAATGGCACTCTGACTGCCAATCCTTCTCAGAGCCTACACTATTGCAGTGGGTCCTGGATTCCTCCTGGTGCACAACAATGCCCGACATAGAATGCAGACAGTTCCTAGAGGAGGAAGGAATTGATACCACTGACTGACCCCCACGTTCACCTGATCTAAATCCAATAGAACATCTCTGGGACATTATGTTATGTATCTGACGTCAGGGTGTCTTTGAATTCAGCCCAGTCCAGTCCATATCAGTATAGACATCCAGAATGATTTTTTCCCATTGACGTCTCACATGTTTTCAGTGTTCCCTTAACTTTTTGTGCAGTGCACATCACACATGTGGTTGACAGTCATATCAAAACCAAAAAAGGGATAAGAAAATAGCTCTTTCCTCAACTAAAAAAAATACTAATTGAACAATGTCGATCTCTGTTCCTTTACTTGGTCCTACTGCAGTTTCTGTCATCTCAGTTAATATGACGCTGCCATTAGTTTGAATTTTGATACATTTCTTCTGTTTAAAGTAGCCCAATTTTTAATACTTGTCAAGTGATATTGTTAGCTTGTAAGAAAAGTTTTCTGCTGTATGTTTTATTATATAATTAACAAACTGACCACCATCAAATACCTTTTCCTTCTCTATGACTTTCTTCCCCCATGCCCGAGGTTGTTAATGTCATGTGCCCATGACTCTCATGAACATGTCCGGCAGACTTGTGGTGGTCTGAAACAGCCGTTGTCACTTTTAATAACTAAAACTTGGAAACATTAAAGTTTATCCATTGCATATTTCACTCACTAGCTACCCAAACACATCTACCACTATATCTAAATTATATACCTTGCCTGGGTGTATGCTCCTCGCCATGCTCAGATGAGGTTCTGTGGCCATGTGTGTGTCCCTCAGAGCTGTGCGAGACTGGCAAAATAATTGTTATCAACATTAGAAGCAAACATTTCTACAATTTCCAAGACTGTTAGTACAGGTGTACTACACAAGGAACTATAACTGCAGTAAAACAATCCCAGTCACAGATACCTCTTCTTTCTGTATGCCTCTCTTCCTCCCTTCCATGTCCATGTGTTGTTATGTGGACATGGGCCTCATGCACATGTCCATGAGACCCGTGGTGGTCTGAAACAGCAGTTGTTATTAACGCAAACAGTTTAACAACTAAAGCTTGGGAACATTCGTCTCACATCTGAGACCCCATTTCTCTCTTTTGACATTAAAAAAAATGTAATTAAAGTATATCTACTGCGTATTTCCATCACATGGGTGATCACTACCACTACCCCTATATCTAAAAAAGATATACCTTGTCTGTCTGTATGTTCCACCTCTCCATGCTCAGATGAAGCTTTGTGGCCATACATGTGTCCCCCAGAGTTGTGTGAGTCTGACAAAATAATTGCCATCGGTATTAGACAAAAACATTTCTGCTGTTTTCAGTATTCAGGTGGAATTTTCTTCTAAGGGTTGCTATGCTTTATTTATGGAGAAAGATCATCTGACAGTACAGGTGTACAATAATATACACTCACCAGCCACTTCATTAGTTACACCCATTGAGTTGTTTGTTAATAATGGAAATATCTGATCAGCCAATCACATGGTAGCAACTCTATGTATTTAAACACATAGACATGATCGAAATGACCTGCTGAAATTCAAACCAAGCGTCAGAATGTGAAAGAAAGGCAATTTAAGTGACAGTTATGTTTGTTGATGCCTGAGTATTTCAGAAACGGCTGGGATTTTGTCACACAATCATCTCTGGATTTTATGGAGAGAATCCAGGAGAATGGTTCCAAAGAAAGCCAAACTATCCAGAGAGCAACAGTTCTCTGGGCTAAAATACATTGTTGGTGAGATCAGAGGAGAATGGCCAGACTGCCCTGGGCTAATAGGAACAGCATTAACTCAAATAACCACTTGTTAAAACCAAGGAAAGCAGAAAAACTTTGAAAGCTTGAAACTGGTTGGCTTCAACAGTAGAAGACCACACAGCAATCAACCGTTGCAAGCTGAAAACAAGAAACTGAGTCTTGATTTTACAAGGGCCCACCAAAACTAGCCAACAGAAGTTTGGAAAAATGTTGCCTGGTCTGATGAGTCTTGATTTCTGCTGCAACGTTCACATGACAGAAACATGAAACCATGCATCCATCCTTCTTAACCAATGGTTCAGGCTGTTCAACCTAATGGTATAGTGGATATTTTCTTGGCACACCTAGGGTTCCAGCAGTTCCAAATGAGTACCATCCATGGACTTGACTATAGTGTACCTATCTTCTGATGGCTGCCTCCAGAAGGAAAACAGTGTCAAGAAGCTCAAATTATCTCTATCTGGTTTGATAGATAGATATTTTTGGTTGTGACAACACTGCACTGAAATGGCTTCCAAGCTATCACGTCAATAAGAACTAACATCTCTTAGCACTTGGAAAAATTAATACAGTTCTGACAGCAAAATGGAGTTCAATCCAATACTTGCAATGTATACCTAACAAAGTGTCCAATGAGTGTACATTAAACTATTAAATACACTGCTAATCATACCTAATATATCGGATACCTTTTCTTTCTGTATGTCCCCTTTCCTCCCTTCCATGTCTATGTTCAGATGAGATTGTTATTCTGTGGCCATGAGTTTCATGCACATGTCCCTCAGGCTTGTTGTGTCCATGTTCAGATGCTCTATGGCCATGAGCTTCTTCTACATGTCCCCCAAGCTCATGTCCATCATGGTTATGATGTCCATGTTGAGTTGTTGGTTTGTGGCCAATAGCTTCTACTAAATGTCCCCCACGCACATGGCCCTCAGGCTTGTGATGTCCATGTTCAGTTGTAGGTTTGTGGTCATGAGCTTCTTCTACATGTCCAACATGCACATG